CTCCACCCAATGCAAACCCGATCCAAAGCCGGAATCTTTTTCCCAAAACAAATCCTGAACCTCACTGCCTCATCCCCTATCTCCCCCTTACCCCCAACTTACCGTAGTGCACTAAAAGATCCAAACTGGCATGCTGCTATGTGTGATGAATATAATGCCTTGATCAAGAATGAAACATGGGAATTAGTACCCCCCCCCCCTCAACCACTCAAAACATAATCTCTGGCAAATGGCTTTCTAGACACAAACTTGGCCCATTAGGTGAGTTATCCAAGTACAAGGCCCGTTGGGTGGTCCGCGGTTTCAATCAGCGCTTTGGCGTCGACTACGACGAGACCTTCAACCCCGTTGTCAAACCTACTACAGTCCGTATCATTCTTAGCATTGCTCTGTCCAGAGGATGGCCCATTCACCAGCTAGAGGTCAAAAATGCCTTCCTCCATGATCAGCTACAGGAGATAGTCTATGCCAGTCAGCCTTCCGGGTTTCAGGATCCCGCTCGACCTCATTATGTTTGTCGACTCAAGAAGGCCCTCTATGGGCTTAAGCAGGCACCGCGGTCGTGGTATCACAGATTTGCCAGTTTTATTCAAACTATTGGGTTTCGCGGGTGCAAGTCGGATACATCACTGTTTCTTTTCTCTCACCTACCTACTATTGTACGTTGATGATATTGTTCTTACAGCATCTTCCGGCCATTGCACTTCTCCAGCATCTCATCCAGCGGCTAAAGGCCGAATTTGCTATGACAGACATGGGAGACCTACACTTTTTCCTCGGCATCAACATACACAAGACGACCAGTGGCCTATTTCTCCACCAGACACAGTTCACTCATGACATACTCGAGCGGGCCGGGATGGTCTCTTGCCGCCCCATCTCCACCCCAGTGGACACAAAGGCAAAGATCTCTTCCTCGTCAGGCACACTGCTCCCTGATCCTACTCTTTATCGATCCGTCGTTGGAGCATTACAGTACCTTACATTTACTCGTCCTGACATCACATATGTCGTCCAGCAGCTTTGTTTACACCTTCATGCCCCCCGTGACGCTCATCTCACAGCTATGAAGCGTGTCCTGCGCTATCTTAGTGGCACCCCCACCCATTGCATCCACCTGGCGCGCTCCTCCACCGACTCTTTGCAGGCATACTCCGACGCTGATTGGGCCGGATGCCCAGACACCCGCCGTTCCACCTCTGGATATTGTGTCTTTCTCGGTGACAACCTAGTCTCCTGGTCCTCCAAGCGTCAGGCTACCACCTCCCGTTCCAATGCAAAAGCTGAGTATCGGGCTGTGGCCAACGCCATTGCAGAGACAAGCTGGATCCGGAATCTACTACTTGAGCTGCATCAACCCCTTCGGCGTGCCACCCTTGTCTTTTGCGACAACGTCAGTGCTGTGTATCTCTCGACAAATCTTGTCCAGCACCAGCACACCAAACACGTGGAAGTTGATATCCACTTTGTCCGTGACAAAATAGCACTGGGTCATGTGCGAGTTCTCCACGTCCCCACGTCTTCGCAGTATGCTGATATCTTCACTAAGGGACTGCCATCTTTATTATTTCTTGACTTCAAACAAATCTTGGGAATCAGACCTCCTCCACATCCGACGTAGCCGGGAGCATGTTAAATATATTGTATATATTTAATATATTGTATTATTCCCTTACCTTATTTGTATAGGTTTCCTTCATTGTACATGTCTCTCCTACCTTGTTTAGGATTGAGACTCCTCTTATATATACACATGTAATCACAACTCAATTAATCAATGAAAATCATTATTCTTCAAAAAGTGCAGAGAAAAATTTTTAGGGCTTTTTTCACTCTTTTTCTTTCCTCTCCCCATTTTCTGTTGCAAACAAACAAGAGAAAAGATCTAGAAACTTGTGTTTTTCTCTCTCCACTTTTCTTTCCTTCCAAAATCCCCCCATCCAAACGGAGGGTAAGTTTAAATTCAAAGGCAAGAAGTATCAAGGGGTAATAATATTCGAGTTCGATTTCTGTCAACAGTACTGTGATGTAACTATGCATAGAGAATTTGCAAGTATCATGTGCATGTTCTATTCTTTGCCAGCAATGTTAGATTTACTTTCTTTCAGTGATCATCCGGCCGGTGTTAGGGGCCCTCGGAGATGGCCGGATCGGATGGGGCTCATCCTCTTCCAAAGAAAATATTTTACCTAAAAATTTAGATTTTTTTATTTGCAAGCTATACAAAGACAACTTAGTGATAAAATTTCCACGAAAACATTCCTAGATGCTAGATTTTTTATACTTCGTATATGCCAGCAAATTTAATCCTAATATCTACCTATTTTATTCCAACAAAAATTAAACACAATATTATTACTCGGAGTATATTGTGAAGAGTAATTTACAGAAATAGAAGTAGAAGGTGCAGGTTTTCCCTATATAGGAGTGGTCCTATTTGACCACATGTTTGTGAATAGAAAATGACTAAAATAACCTCTAATTTTAGATTCTAAATTCCACGCACGTATAGAAAAAAACGGCATGAGTTGCGGCTGCAGTTACCATTTACATCATGTTTCCTTCCCACATAGGGTTCTTAGCCATTCCTACTTTTCTGTGAAATTAGCAGACCAGGGAATTAATCAATCAGTAACAATCGACTCATTCCTGCTCGGCCGCTATGCTTCTTTACGGATGACTAGGAAATTGCGGCTGCAATTTCACTCATTTCTGTGAAATTAATCAATCAGTAACAATCGACTCAATGATGATTAGTCGATGAAATTCCAAAGTCGCAGACCAGGAATGAGTGAAAACCACCACAGGGTATGTAAATTGATTTTTTCGTCTTTAAACGCAACATATGTGCATTTGTCTTGTAAGATCGGAACATGCATGGATGGTGTTTGTAAAATTGTCTTTGAATATAGTATTGTTTTCAAATTGAGATGTATTGTAATTATTAGGAAGTATAATTAAAACGGTTGTTTCTCTTCTATACGACTCTGCTCTCCCGACTACCTTTTGGGTCGAAGCTCTTGCCACAACAAACTATCTTATCAACCGCATGCCCACCAAAACTCTCTCCAACAAATCTCCCTTTGAAACTCTTTATAACCGTCCTCCTACATATACCCACCTTCTTCCCTTTGGTTGCTTGGTCTATCCATGGCTCTGCCCTTATACTCACCACAAACTTCAACCACGCTCCACTCCTTGTGTCTTCTTAGGATATCACCCCACCACTAAAGGGAATAAATGCTATGAACCCGTGTCTCAAAAAGTTTATGTCTCTCGTCATGTTCGGTTCGTCGAGGATCAGTTTCCATATCCCAAATTGTCATCCCTCCCGTCACCCTCTCCTATAACCCCTATTTTTCCTCCAAGCCCAGGCTCACATGCTCCTGTCCCACTGACGGTCCAACCCCAGACCCGTCCCACCAGTCACGGATGACAGCCCGACACCCTCCCTATGGACACGCCACAGACGGTCCAACCCCAGAACCGTACCCCAACCCACCCTCGACCGTCACCTACTCCTCCTTAAAACACACAACCGGTTAACCGACCCCCGCCCCAAAACACACACACCATGCAAACCCGAGCCAAATCTGGAATTTTCAAACCTAAAGCCTATACCATTACCACCCTTGATACTACCCCACCTACTACTGAGCCTAGCACTTACCGCCAAGCCTCTGGTAATAGTTTTTGGTGTCAGGCTATGGATGAGGAGTTTATTGCTTTGAATGAGCAACGTACATGGGACTTGGTTCCACCACCCAAGAACCGCACTCCGATTGGTTGCAAATGGGTGTATCGCATTAAACGGAATGCTGATGGATCTGTTTCAAGGTA